ATGCTCTGGGGCTTTAATGGACGATTACCCATTACAGCTAAACGATTCTCTCGGGCTTCAATGGACGATGGCCCATTACAGCTAAGGGATTCTCTCGGGCTTCAATGAACGATGACCCATTACAGCTAAGGGATTCTCCCGGGCTTCAATCCCTTTAGCTGTAATGGGTCATCGTCGTTTTACTTCCGATATTTGTGACAGACTTTTGTTTACTGCTTTAAAGCATGGTTTATATTCGCTAGTTCTCACAGACTTTTGTTCACTGTTTTAAAGCATGGTTTACTTCCGCTAGTTCTCACAGACTTTTGTTTACTGTTTTAAAGCATGGTTTACTTCCGCTAGTTCTCACAGACTTTTGTTCACTGTTTTAAAGCATGGTTTACTTCCGCTAGTTCTGACAGACTTTTGTTTACTGTTTTAAAGAATGGTCTGCTTTCGCACGGGTAAGATCACTTGTTTGGACTTCTTCGTTTGAACTCCACAATTTATGACTTTAATAGATATACAGAGCACGTGATAGCGACTATTAAATGGGTCAGGAATGTAGTGTTTCTCCTCCACTTGCACTGGATATTATATCACAGTCTGCTTTCAACTTTGTCTTCCACATTGTTCAGCTGTCCGCCCCAAATATATTCTTTTCTTCTACTGTAGAAAAAACTCGTTTTCTGTTTCTTCACGTGCCTTTTGCGTTGCGAAAAGTATGTAGTATTTAAATAAAAAACAAACACACGTTTCTGCTTTTCTTACCTCTCATTATATATATAAACTTTAGTAAAAAAAGTCACTTTTGAGTTCATTTAAGAAGTTAATTCTACATCAGTTTTTACAAATTGTTTGTTTTGGAATCTGATCAGACTATAAAACCAATCATACTAAAATACTGAAAATGAAAAAAATAGTTCATATTGTGCAGCTTTTTCTTGTTACTCAACAAAATGTATGTTTTCTCAGTAAGGAAGGAGTACGGGTTGTTTTTTGTTTTTTTACTGTACGTGTTTTCGGTAATTTTATGTTATATGTTAATATCATATATGTAAACTAAGTTATAACTGTTCATCGTCCATTGAAGCCCGAGAGAATCTTTTAGCTGTAATTGGTCATCGTCCATTGAAGCCCGAGAGAATCTTTTAGCTATAATTGGTCATCGTCCATTGAAGCCCGAGAGAATCCTTTAGCTGTAATGGGTCATCGTCCTTTAAAGCTCGAGAGAATCCTTTAGCTGTAATGGGTCATCGCCCATTCAAGCCCGAGAGAATCTTTTAGCTGTAATGGGTCATCGTGCATTGAAGCCCGAGAGAATCTTTTAGCTGTAATGGGTCATCGTCCATTGAAGCCCGAGAGAATCTTTTAGCTGTAATGGGTCATCGTCCATTGAAGCCCGAGAGAATCCTTTAGCTATAATTGGCCATCGTCCATTGAAGCCCGGGAGAATATGCTTTAAAACAGTAAACAAAAGTCTGTCACTGAAATTAGAATAATATGTTTCACAAAACGTCCAGAATTAATGTTGTTTAATGTATAATACAAATTAATAATTTGATTTAGATTATCTGCACACAGTCTAGAAGTGGAACAAATAATTAATATCAGTTTACAAGAGAACAGCCAATCTCCAGACACATACATGTTACAAATTATGAAAACAGGTTCGAATAGGCTTAGTGCTTTATTTCACGGCGGTTGGAGTAACCAAGATGTGTGATAAAATTTTCCGTTTTCATTAGTTTGACAATATGTTAAGGACTTTGTGAATACTGATCACTTTCTATATTTTTCATTTTTTCATCCAGAAGTCGCAGCTGGAGAAGGATTAGTTTCAGTTCTCAATCTGTTAAAATCACCAGATTCTATACCAACGATAGACGGATCTCGAGCGCCCACTCGGGCGGAATGAAGGCGAGATTTTGGCACAACTAGTAAGCTAACACATCCGTCAATATCTAGTCGAAGAAACAATTTCTTGCTACAGCGGTGACGCCAATATCCCGGCACGAATAGTCATGCCGTCTTGTCCGAATACCTTTATTAGTTTATAGTCAGTGACACGGAACATTTAGGAGCCTCAACTAGCACCGATCTTTCTAGAACATTTGTTTTTGATTTCGTTCTGAAGTTACAGCAAGCATAAGACGGCTATTACCATGCACATTTGTATAGCTTCATACAACAGAAGTAAATAAGAAACCTACTGTAAATATATCGTTCGGAAATATGAATAATACAGGCATTCAAATTACAAAGTTATATGATTTGGTAAATGTGTATGATTTCATGTTTTCACTATTAACAGATTCAAGTATAGTTGTACAGTTTGTTTTATTATAGAAGTTGCATCATTTGGTAAATGTGTGATGTGTATTTCATGTTTTCACTGTTAACAGATTCAAGTATAGTTGTACAGTTTGTTTTTATTATAGAAGTTGCATCATTTGGTAAATGTGTGATGTGTATTTCATGTTTTCACTATTAACAGATTCAAGTATAGTTGTACAGTTTGTTTTATTATAGAAGTTGCATCATTTGGTAAATGTGTATTTCTTGTTTTCACTATTAACAGATTCAAGTATAGTTGTACAGTTTGTTTTTATTATAGAAGTTGCATCATTTGGTAAATGTGTAATGTGTATTTCTTGTTTTCACTATTAACAGATTCAAGTATAGTTGTACAGTTTGTTTTTATTATAGAAGTTGCATTATTTAGTACATGTGTAATGTTTTCAAAAAGTAGAACTGATTTTTTTCCCGACACTTGTGCCCCCTACATTAGACTCAAGTCATTAATTGAAGGCCTTCATTTGTTAGGAGGTAGAATTAGCGTCAAAACAAATTACTCAGTTTTATAAGAACTGATCTCTACCCATACATCATTCAACACGTAAACAGTTGAACTGATCTCTACCTGTACATCATTCAGCACTTAAACAATGGAACTGATCTCTACCTGTACATCATCAACATTTAAACAATGGAACTGATCTCCACCTATATATCATCAACATTTAAACAATGGAACTGATTTATGATACATTCACAAACCGGAAACATTTTGAAACTTGTTTCTAAACTGATGAAAGTGAACTAAATCAGGATGTTTTTCACATCTTGATACTAACCTAAGAAAACTAAACGTAATAATGATTTCCCAGAGATCCACACCGATATCTAATAACGTAGTAAATGCTAAATTATTTCTTATTTGACGACCCCCCAGTGGCTCATCTGAAGGCATATATAACGTTAAAAACCAAGTTTAGATATCAATGGTGGTCACAACACAGATAACCAATTGTGTAGCTTTGCGCTTAACAACAAAGAAAACTTACATGTTATTAAATTGAAATATATTTATACACATATATCAGGTAGAAAATGTTCAATTATTTAAAATGCGTCAACTCTGATAAATTGCTTCTTACAGAGAAAGCTTCAAAACAAGAAACGTTAAACAAAATTAGGATTATAACATGATTATTTTAGGGTTAATGTGAAGTAACGGTTTGGTAATAAGCCTGAGTACGCGGTTTGAATGTCATCCGTTTTCCGTTACAGTTCGACACGAGCTGCCGCCATTGGTGGCAAACAAGCCCGGAATAATGTAGCTTTGTCTCCGTGAAGAAAGGAGTTTAATAATTAGTTACTTTTCTGTAGAAATCTTCACGGAAAACTCTTTCCAGTAAATCATAACTTACCTAATGATTCACTAAAAATCGTCTGCATCCGTTTCAGTATCGCGAAGCCCGCCACTCGTCTATTCCTGCCGTGATCCAAAATGGCGGACAGGATGACTAACAGCGCCATTATGCTGCCTCGAATATTTTAATTTTTTTTTCTAACTTGAATATCAGTAACTGAAGTAGAACACCAGAGTAACAGTAGCAAAATGTATTGAAATAAAACACCTGGAACTGATTTATGACCAGAGGAAATAAAACAATGTCAACAGTGAAACAAAGATAACAATGTATATTCTTCTAATTTATCTTTAGAAAAAAAAAACATCAGATGGATTGGATAAATCAAGTGAAAATTTTCAATGGCTATTTTTTAATATTACTCCATACGAAACATAAATGTATATATATGTGTACATTAAAACAGGATAATATAACTAATTACACTGAGTTTAAAAATTTAGAATATAACGTACTAATTACATTATTATATTAATAACAATATTTTCGTACAAATGATTTGGTTCTTTTTACTGAAACTACAGAAAATTCTATATCGAATTCCAAGTAAATGTTCTTGGCAGCTGACCCTCACTGTGTCCGTCTGTGAGTGCTAAAACAGAGAGAAATAAACATCAGCGCGAGCTGTTGCTCTGCCTTTAGCCACGGGCGACATCTCAGACTATTTCTTGTTCTTAATTTATTGCAGGGTTTTGTCCATCTTGTCTGCTTTAACTGGAACGGAAAAAACAACAAGAAGAACGGGAGGATTGAATTCCAGGTCCTTCGGGTGTTATTTTCCCGACCAACTTTCTGGACTCGATATAGCAGCTTTTTCCTAAATACTTTTGTCAGATATTGTCTGGATTGTTTAAAATGGATAGAAATACTTAAACATTCTTTGTTTCTCACTAATAAACACGGCCGTTGATGTGAAGCTAAGGTTATTATTATTTACTATAAAAATTACAATTACAGGGTTTCTGTCAGAACATTAAACCGATTTAAGAACCACACGAAATAAATAAGGATAATACTTTTCATCAATAACAATCTCAGTGTTGGCTATGGCGCATGCGTGAGTAACATTTTTTCTGAACTTTGACTACACAAGTTTTTTGTTGTCCCAGATTTTGTCTCCCAGCAGATCCATGATTTTCCTGAAGGAGAACCCGACTGTCTTCTAGGATACTCTAAATGACCAGTTGACCTTTGGTGGTGGGGGAGTTTCTCCAAAAATAATCTGTATTTTAAAGAAACAAAAAGACGAGATCTATGAAACATCGTAGTAGATGACGTTATAATCTTCAAACTGCTACTTCGAACTGTTAAATAGATAATGTGGTAGTGGAATAAACTGTATTGTTTATAGAATGTGACTTGAAAATAATGTATATATATATATACACACACATACAGAAACATATACATGTTAACTTTAGTTATATCACTCTTACAATATGCATACGTACGTACAGTGTAAGGGTAAATAACACTGGCATTTGTTTCTCATTTCTGCATCTGGTTTACCGCTCGCATAGAAGACTTTTGTTTATTGTATTAAAGCATGGTTTACTTCCGCTAGTTCTGACAGACTTTTGTTTATTCTATTGAAGCATGGTTTACTTCCGCTAGTTCTGACAGACTTTTGTTTATTGTATTGAAGCATGGTTTACTTCCGCTAGTTCTAACAGACTTTTGTTAACTGTTTTAAAATATAGTTTACTTCCGTTAGCTCTGACAGACTTTTGTTTACTGTTTTAAAGTATAGTTTACTTCCACTAGCTCTGACAGACTTTTGTTTACTGTTTTAAAGACTGGTTTACTTCCGCTATTTGTGACAGACTTTTGTTCACTGTTTTAAAGTATAGTTTACTTTCGCTAGTTGAATAGTTTCGTTGAATATTAATATTGTTTGTATCATGCTAATAGTTTCGTTGAATATTGTTTGTATAATATTAATAGCTTCGTTGAATATTGTTTGTATAATGTTAATAGTTTCGTTGAATATTGTTTGTATAATGTTAATAGTTTCGTTGAATATTGTTTGTATAATGTTAATAGTTTCGTCGAATATTGTTTGTATAATGTTAATAGTTTCGTTGAAACATTAAACAAACAATATTCAACGAAACTATTAGCATTATACAAACAATATTATTACGGAACTATTAACATTATACAAACAATATTCAACGAAACTATTAACATTATACAAACAATATTCAACGAAACTATTAACATTATACAAACAATATTCAACGAAACTATTAACATTATACAAACAATATTCAACGAAACTATTAACATTATACAAACAATATTCAACGAAACTATTAA